CATTAGCAGGATTGCGGTATTTTTCCATAATGGCCAATGGAGTATAATCAGACCAGGAAGAAGGTAGCAAACCCAACTCGCGTTCAATTGCCAGGTTCCTGATACGCAAAGCATCATATGCATCATATTTTTGAGGAAGGCGGGAAGGTATTTTTGATGTCACATTAGCGATAACATTAATAGCCGCCTTGCCTTCACTGCCACGTTTGGTTGTAATAAGAACGACACCATTGGCACCTTTCACACCGAATACCGCAGTGGCGGATGCATCTTTAAGGATGGATATGTTTTCAACAGAAGCGATATCTACCCCGCTTAATGCGCGTTCGATACCATCAACCAGTATCAGCGGCTGGCTACCATTCCATGTTCCCTGCCCCCGAATAAAAATTGCGGGATCTTCAGCACCTGGAAGACCAGTTCCCTGCACCGTGATAACCCCTGGTACATTACCCGTTAAGGCAGCCCCGATGTTTGATACACCCCCTGCTCTTTGCAACACAGCACCTGTAGTTTGGGTGATTGCTCCGACAACACTCTCTTTTTTCTGACGTCCGTATCCCACAACAATTACACTGTCCATCGCTCTCGCGAATGGGACCATCCTGATCAAGAAAGTGCGAACCTCCTTAACCGGCACTTCCTGCAGTTCGTAACCGGTGTAAGAAATAATTAATACAGCGTTTTCGCTGGCTACATTAAAAGAGAAGTTACCTTCTAAACTAGTGGATGTTGAGTTGTTCGTTCCTTTTTCAGTAATGTTGGCCCCCTGTAAAGGCTGCCCCTTATCATCTACTACCTTACCGGTAACGTGAATGGCATAGCCGCCGGGAAACCCTGTAAATCCTAAACGATCGCCACCTTTATCTCCCCCTGCAAAAGCCTGGACTGATAAGAGGCAAGCAATAAATAGTGCTGTATGTATTTTGAGAACATTTAAACAAGACCTTTTCATAAAAAGCTCCCGTATAATTTTTTCCATACTGTTTTATGTTTGTTGATGAATAACCAGTGAGCCGGAACAAGCAGCGAAGCAAGCCTCGGGAATGTATTTCACATTCTATTTTTCAATTATGTATAAGGAAATGGGGGCAGAATTGCCGGCCCGAAGAAGGGAGGTTAGGTTACAGTTTTCATGATAGCAGCAGTTTTTAGTTTATCGTTGTAATTCGAGCAATGTTCTTG